AGGGCAGAATGTGTTTACAAAACAACAATGTTTCTTTCTGATTTCTGTTTCTAGTTTAAAGCATTTTTTTTTTAAAAAAAAAAGTCCAGACATTGTTCTTGTATCGTCTTCTGACCAGGAAACTCTATCGTCTTGGACCGCTGCCATCCCCAACATTGCATAAGTCTTAATCCTTACAATTCTTCTAAACAAAAATATGAAAAATAGGAAGTCCATGTGTGAATGTCTGTAAGACCGCTAGGGAGCTGCAATTTTCTTTGGGAGCAGCACTAACTAATGTACAGCGAGACTTTCATTGGCCTATTGCAAATGGATAGAGCTTGGTCCAGATATTTCACTTACCCTTCATGCAAAGACGTTAGCAGTGGTTAAAAAGCAAGGTTATTAGTTTGCATCAAGAAGCCTTAACAGGAAGTAAGATTTTAAATAACATTGCTAAATTTGAAATGCAAAGGCTTCCAGTGCTAACTTAGCTCAGTTTTCAAGAAAACGGAATTGCATGAGTAAGGGGATATTTTTGTTTTCATTACTATGTTAACAGAAAAAAACCTAAATGTACCTACGTTGTCATCCATGCTTAAATGTAATGCAACATTTATCAAGCTCCTCTAAAAATACAACAAGCTGTCTCGGGGATGCTGAGCTAAATATATAGTTGAGATCATAATTTCTCTGTTCAACATCTACTGGAAGTACACAGCAAACCCTCGGTTTCACTGGTTGTTCTAATCTAAGTGGTGTCTTGAAGGTATCATCCTTTTCACTGTAGAATGTCATCTGAACATCTGTTTAAACTTGACTTGGTCAATTTAGGACAAAGCATGTGTGGCACCTTATAAAAGGAATAGAGCCAGAAACAGTGGAAAAGGCTAAACTTGTTTCTACCCTTCTCCCTTCCCTTCTCTGCTGCAGTCCCAACTTAGCACAAGTGACATTGCATGAGAAAGGCTAATGTGGTGTGACCTGTCAGCGTCTGTGTAACGCACTTAGCACGTGTAAAGCGTATAAAGAGATACTACTAGTCTGTACTTCTGGAGTTTGCATTTTGTTTTAATGAATATGATACACAGAGTGCCTTATTCTGAGGCTCAGATTTATTCACAGAACAGGTTTTATCTCTTTTTGTTCTAAATTAGCAGATATTAGAATAATATTAAGTAGTGTCTCTCTCTTTAGAGGGTTTTTTTAATGCTTTAATGCACTGATCTGATGGTCTTTTCTACATATAATTTGTATGGGCTTTTTTCTTGGCAAGATGTCTGTGAGCTTTTCTTCTTACACCCAGAATATGTGTTGTGGGGCAGGCCAAGAATCCCCAAAACTACTCCAGCATATTGGTTTCCTCATTCTGTGAGGAGCAGTTGCTGTAAGGGATGCCAGTGCCTGGGCTTAGACACATTATATCTCATCAAACTGATTTTAGTGCAGCAATGTAGCATCATGAGATTTGACAATAACAACATGTAATGTTTTGAGAGCCTGTGTGTGTGCATTGTCTCTCTGCTTAGAAAAATGAGAGGAAAGTTTGTTACTGTTTGAGACCTTAAGTTGGAATATTTGTTTTTTTTGCATCCAGCCATGACTGCCCTGATTAGTGTGTAGTTCAGTTTTTCTTGTACAGGTGATGTTTGCAATCAGATCTTGTCCTTTTTTGGATTTTAATTTTTACTAATGAAACACCAGCCTCAGATGGGCCTGATTCTTGACAAACCTTACAAGTGCTCCCTGAACAAAAGTGACTAGTAAATTATTTCAGATTCCTCCGGTCAGAGCTCTCGTCTCTGAGCTGGTGGTTTGTATTCAAATTCATTTTTATTTTTTATTGGTATTATGGCAGTGTCTAAAGACATAAACCTATATTGAGATCTCATTGTGCTGACACCGTAATGTGCATAGAGATACTCTGTGCAAAATGTTAGAGAATGCAGGGGTATAAAAGAAAGCAATTTTCCATTTCAGAGACAAGAAGCAAAGAAGAAAAGAGAATGACGTGCTCTGCAGGCATAACAACTTTGTCTTCTTCCCTCATAGCTCTTTATAATCATGTCAAAATAGACTATTTAGGTCTTTTACTGATGACCTGTGAATGCCGTGTCTATCACAGCCTTTTAAAATGTACAAGTGACAAAGTATTCCCAATAAAGTGTAATTAGCATAGCGACTGAAGATTTGTGAGCATCGCCAACATGCATTAGGGCTCATATTGTGGGAGGTCTAGCTATGGGCTAAGGGATCACTCAGTTGAGATTGCCAGTGCATAGCTCATCTGGCTATTTCAAATTATCAGAACCTAATTAAATGAAAACATATGAGCAGATAATGAGTGGAGCTGTTGGCTGGAAAATCCTCCAATATTAAATCAGAAGTTTCCTTTAGGGGCAATTAAAATACAGTGAATATATCTTAGGCTATGTGTTAATCATCAGTATTATAAGTGAATCTGATATTGGCCCGGAGGAGTATTTTAAAATTGAGGTTTTGTAATGAACTTTCCTAAGTTTGTGCAGGGTCTTCAAGCCCTGTGCAGCTTCCCCCAGTGTGCTACCTCCAGTTGCAAATGAATGAGGCTGTTCTAGCCTGCATAGATGTTTTTTATTTGCTCTGAAAAGTCACCACCTGATTACAGAACATCGACAGGCCCTTGGGGAGTAGAGGGGAGAAGTTTGGAGCGGTGCAGCAGCAACCCAATACTAGCAAGGATGGCTCTGCTCGGAGCAGATGCTGAGCAACGCCCTCTCTGACTTGCATCGTTTGATTTTCTGTGATGGGGTCTGTCTTTTCGGTGGCGTTTAATGCCTGTCCCAGCCCGTGGGGCTGCAGGGAGGGGCAGTGGTGCTGCCCTAAGCACAAGGGGTGTCAAATGAGAAGGACCAACTTGCCTCTCAAACCACTGTGGTCAGCCTGTTTCATTTGGTTAACGTGGCTCTTGGGAGGAGCGTGTGAGGCGTGTAAATAGTGTGGTGTGGAGCGGTAGTAGATGGTGTATTTCTCTGTTGGATCAGCCAAGACCGTTGCAGCTCGTGGTCACAGGCCTCTCCTGGTGCTGGCTGGGCAGACTGTCATGCCAGGACTGGAGGGGGCTGCCTGGCTGCCAAACCTGCAAGAATGAGATGTCGTAGTATAAATACGTCAAATACCTGTGAATATGATGTTTGTTTTGGTTGAGGTATCGCTCATTTCTTTGATATGAAAAGTGATAAAACACTCTACATATTCCACCAGTTTGATTATTTTGGTTTTTTTCCCCACCAGTTTAATTTAATTTGCTTTTCCTCCATTTCATCTGCCCAGCTCTTGACAGTCTACCTGTGCTGGTACCAGAGTCCCAGTAATCCCAGCAAGCAGGCTTCAAAACTGTTGCCACCCCATCAAAGCTGGAGGGTAGGGTTGCTGGCTCTTGGGTTTGCACCCCTTTCCCAGGGGCAGCCCTGGCTCCTTGACGGCCAGGTCCTGCCCTCCCTCCTGAGCTCCTGGCCTCAAACTCCTCTGGCACCAGGAGCAGTGTTCTTGAGAACTGTGGCTGCTTCTCATTGTCCCACAGCTGTTAATACGGGCTGTATTTTTGTTCCTGGCCATGTGGCTTGGCTCTATTAAAACAGATGATGTCCAGCTACAGCCTGCTTTTCTAAGGGATCTAGATCACTCGGCATCAACAGCCTGTCTTCGTCTTTATTTACTGCTCTTCTAAGTATAGCTGTTTTCAAATTTAATTGGGGATGATGATATGGATAAAAGTGTTAAATACCCTGGGACCAAGATCTGATCCCAGCAGGACCCCTCTGGAAACATACTGACTCAGTGGTTCCTGTTTAAAATTAGATTTTGACACCTGTCAGCCAATTTTTTATTTAATGTGTGCTGTGTTCACTTCATATCATTCTGGTTTCGCAATCAAAATATCAGCCGCCCTCCAGAAGTCTGTTCCACAGACACTGTTATTCCTGTTAACCACATCTGCCGTCTCAAAGATAGAAGGTTGCTTGACAGACTCTGTTTTCCACAAAACCTTGTTGATTGCCGTTACTTATTTCCTTTCTTTCTTAATCATGTCCTGTCTCCACTATTCCATTATTTTGCTGGGATAGATGCCAGGATGACAGGCTTATAATTATCTGGGTCACCCCATTTATCCTTTCTAAATATCCTTTTCTGGAAGTTTCCCATTGTTCCACCCTTTTTTTTGAAAATGACCATGCAACAATCCAGAAAGTCTTCAGCCTTTCTTAAACATTTTGAAGCAAGTATTTGGAGATGTTGACTTGAAAAATGAGAGGTCAGGGATCTAATGTCCTCATAAATAAAAACTGTGATGAAAAGTGTCCCTGCATTATCTTGTGGCTGTGACTCATGAGCTCTCAGTTGTGATGTGCATTTGGAGTGGTCCTGCGCTTTCTGCCTTAGTGGTGGTGTTATGGACACCTGTGTCACTGCTCTCCAGTAGTGCTGTGGTTACGATTCCCTTTCTTCCCGATAGGACTCTATGGTCTGATACACCATTTTGAAAAAAAAAAAAAAAAGTAAAAACTCAGAAGTTAATCAAAACGTTTACTTTCTTGACTGTCTGTTGGGTTATTTTTCAAAGCTCATGGGAGTAACAAATGAGCTCCAAGTTTTCGGTTGTACCATTAGCAAGTGAACCCGTTTTGAAATGGGTTTGTGTCTTCTTGCACAGGCGGCTGTCCACAGTTGCTCATTCTTCAGTTTGCTGGTTTGTGTGGCTACTGGGCTTTTGCCTTTGCTTTCGCTCTGAGGGTTTGACTTTTCCACGTTCTGTTTGATTTTAAATTCAAATCCCAGACTTGAGAAAAAATTATTACCTTCCATGCTGAATGACATTATCTTAGGTCTTCCAAATAGAGTTGCTGATGCCCCTTGCCCTAGACACATTGGTTTAAAAATCTGCTAGATTAATGGGCATAAATTAGATGTGTTAGGTGTAAGGGTGCGGGAGTATTTTGAGTGTGTTGTGACAGCAGAAAATCATGTGCTTTGTATTTTAGGGTGGTTGGTGGCTTTGACACTCTGACTGCTATGGAGAATGTGGAAAGTGACCCAAAAACAGACCGTCCCAAGGTACATGTGAAGCACCAGGGGCTGTGCAGGAGGGAACAAACGCGTATGGGGTCACGTGGCAGTGCGGTTCACCCCGCTGACCCTTCTCTGAAAGCTGAACTTGGGGCAGATGGTGCAACTTAATCAGCAGATTGATTTGCTCTTCTCTTCTGCTCCCAGGAGGAAATACGAATTCAGACAACAACTGTTTTTGTTGATCCGTATGAAGAGGCAGATGCCCAGGTGAGGACAGTTGGTTGCCTGCTTTTTTTGAAAGGCGAAAACTCTTTGGAGAACTTTGTAACTTAATGCCTTTTCTTTGAACATGAGCAGCCCGCTGGCCCATAGGGTTGCAAGCTAAGATTAAACAGCTGCCGTTCAGCATTGACTTGTGTGCCAGGCTCATCACC